CCATTCTTCTAGGACTTGGCTAGGAACGTACGATCGCTTTCCAATTTGAATTGGATTCAATTTTCCCATTACTTCTCTAGCCGCATTTCTCCCTAATTTCAGTCGCAACATAATGTCCTTTGTACATAACAATTCTTTTTCATTGGGTGTCTTCACACTCATCACCTCGTTAACTCCTATGTATGTATTAACTTGTCTTATTACTGTTTAAATTCTTATGTATATATTCTAATGTAGCTATTAAGATCGTTTTAAAAATCTAATCTAACTTCGTATCTTCTATCTACTTTAACTATGTACTATTTGTTGGTCTTGCTTTAAAATAATCATAAATTTCTCTCATAAGTGAAATTTCTACTGATAGTTATTGTTCCACCATGTGGATGCTCTGTAGTTATTGAAAAAGATCCCGTATAGCTTAAATCTTCAGGGTTTTCATATTCTTCTATTGTTGTTCTTCCTAGAGTAACATCTTCCGATTGGAGCAAATAAAGAGCGTTGCCTACCTGATGAAATCTTCCTGTGTCAGACTTGATTTAGAAGATAAACTTCCCTATATATGTTTAAATGCCGCGCCATAGAATCAAATCGTCAGAAAAGTTTGCTGTTCCGTTGGATTGTTAAAATTTACTACAGTAAATAGATAGTGAGGAAAGCTAGTTGCTTTAGCGCAATTCTTTGCATTTGTCAAGACTTGTATATTATCTAAGCTATATCCGTCTTTTTCATTAATCCTGTCTATAGTTGGCCTGAAAGAATGCTTAAACTCATTTTTCATGTACTCTTCTGTGACTTCTTTCCAAGACAACCAGAACCCTTTCTTCTTATCTAAAATAGCTAAAAAAGTTTCCTCTTCATTCTTCCAACTACATTCAACATACTTGTACATGCCAGAGTTGTATTTACAATTAGTTATCCTACTATATAGACTGCCGTGGAGTAGAAATGCACTGAATTTCTCATTTTCGGCTATTATACTATCTCCATAACATCTTTCTGCGAATGCCAATGCGCGTAACTTATAGTCAACGTAATTTTGATCACCATATATATTAATCCACTCTTCTAATACTTCATCTGCTATGAGACGTTTTGCCAAATATGTTCTCTTCCTTTCTTTATGAACTATTAATTTCAAAACAATTTTGAGTCCGCGAAAACTTTATCAATTCTCCAATCCAATGTAATCCTTTAGATTTTCACAAAAACACGGGACTAATTAACCAGCTTCTAATAAATACTTCTCCCTCACCTAGTAATTTCGAATTATGTAACCACTAAATCTGAGGTATTTAAAGTTGCAAAATCCTACATTAACACTACATATAGTAAGAACAAATGTTTGACATACCTATATGTTGTTAAGTATTCTATACTTGTACCAATATTCCCCCTTTATTGAGAATCTGAAATGAATATTTAAAACTGAGTACTCGAAAAGTATCATCTGCCAAGATGTCTACTAAAGCCTCTTCTGTTCTTCGAAGTGGCTCATCTAGCAAAACTGCTAAATCTTTGGCAGGATCTGTGCTTGCACAATCTCGTGCAGGACGTAAATAAACCAAATTCGAAAGGGGTCATTCAGATGGCTAAAAAGATTAAAATCAACTTGTCTGGTTCGAAAACTCAAATCAAAAACCAACTTAAAAGAGCAGAGAGAGAAATCACAAGAGACATTGAGAAACAACTGGAGCGTCAACTCAACAAGTTAAGATAGTACTCTTCATAACCTTTTATCTCCTCCAGATGCCGGATAACATCTGGAGGAAACCTTACAAACTCTTTATTTCGAATAAAGTTTTTAACAATGACTTGCCACTACTAATCACATATTGATTAGACTATCCCCTTCTTCAATGGTAGTGTCACTTCCCAAATGGGTATGAATGGTCGATCCTTGTACAGAAATTAATTTACCGTTCAGTGTTACCCTTGCACCATTGCCTGTTGTAATTCGTCCCTGTCCAATTCCACTTGTACCAGGACTAATAGAAATGATTGAACCGCCACTATTTTTAGGTGAAGGGGATGGATCAGCTATCCATTGTTCTGTCATAGCGTCGCCCACAAATGCAACAGGAACACTATTTACTGTAAATTTGTTACTCATTTGAAGCTACAACACCAGTAACTGGAGCTCCAGTACTGTGAGTGGTTGTAGTGTATAGGGGAAAGCCGTCTTCATCGCGTCCATACATATAACGCTCAACGTATAAAACGTGACCACTTTTATTGGAATCCGTTAAACGTGAACCTTGTAATGCTACTTTAGCTATATAAATCTTCCTTTCTTTTACATGAATTTCAGATAACGTTGTTCATATGAACCCTGTTCTGCGTAATCAATTGCTTTTTTTCCCTCGTCATCGCTAATCGTGATATCAGGTTTCATATCAATGATTTCACCAAAATAAAATTTGCTTTTTTCCAAAATACTGAACATCAGCGCTGTTTTCCCCTTATTGTCTTGAACATCGGGATCGGAGGCATTACGATTAATTGCTTTAAACGCTTCATAATTGTCCTCTTCGATTACGAAGATTAACAACGTTTTCCCAGAGTCACTATCCTGTGCGTTCACATCAACTGTCCCATTGTTTAGAGCTGTACGAATTTTTGTAGCATCCAATTTTCCGTCTGTGCTATAAGTCTCTTTCAAATTCTTCACTTTTTTACTTGTTGTTGTACTGGTGTTAGGAATGGTGGTGGTTCCAGTTGAACCATTGTTTGTTGTTATGTTGCTAGTCGTTACTCCTTCTTTCAAGGACACCTGGGAGCTTGTTACTGATTCAACAGAATAGCCAAGAGCATTAGCAGTGTCACGCACAGGCAGATACAGCCGACCATTTACGTTCAGTGGTGATTCGGAAAGTTTTGCTTGAGATCCGTCAACTACTAGTTTTACATTAGACTGTGTTGCTTTTAAGTAAGTTGCTGCCCCTACTGCTGTGCCTGCTGTTAGGGTTACCCCTACCACAGCTCCAAGCATGAATGTAGGTAATCTTGACGCTAGTTTCTTCATAATATGTACCCCTCCGATAGAATAGTTATGGTATAGCTATTCTTATAAAAAACTATACCATAACTATCGGTTGATTAGGGTTTAGTGCTTAGATTTTAGTTTGTGAGAAGTTGAATCCTTTACCATGGAAATTAAACGTTCCATCTGCTGTAATCTCAATATAACCATTGGTGTTCCCCACCTTAACGGGACCACCATCAGCCATTGCCGTCAACTCCTTGGTTGTAATGAAAATACGTCCATTTTCTGAATTCATATCAATTCCATCATCCGATAAGTCAACACTCCGAATTCGTCCATTGTTAGATGCCTTGTAAACTTGCTTGTATCCACCATTGTACTTTGTGTTAACCATTCTAGCTCGATCATTAGCTCCACCATCACCTGTACCAATTTTCTCAACTGGCTGAGCCGCATCGCCAGAGCCATCAAAGGTAATCTCACGCTTGATCTTCATGTTCTCCTCAGGAAGTCCATATGAGTAGGCAATGATACCTGTATCTTCAGTAGTCAGGATACGTTTCTCACTGTCTTGCCAGTATAGTAGTCGATCACGGGAATCTTTCGCTTGTTCTTTGGATGCGACTTGCACTGTAACATATCTAGTACGATTATCTTGGATATCAATGTAATCAATATATTCTCCAACATCTGCGTCCTTACCTATCGTTTTGAGTCGATTAACAGTCAAATTGTTAATATATCCGTCATCGGCAAGGATTGTATTAACTTCTAGCATCTCAGCTACTAATTTACCCACATTGATAATGTCCAGTTTATCCATATCCATATATCCAGCCTCTGTATCAATAATAACGTCTCCCGCTGGGCCAATAAATTTACCTTTTGCCGCTACCAAGTTCCCGAAAAGGTCTACACTAAACGGTGCATCATGGAAATTCTCAGATCCAGCCCACATCCCAATGCGGGGAAAAATCTTGAACACTCCTGTACCATCACGTAAGGTAAGGGATGATCCTTCAATTTGTGCATGTGCCTCAATCATTTTTTTAATGTTCTCGGTGTTGTCATAGACTCCTCTATCACCCGGATACCACTGGAATGGTTTTCTTCAATTTTTCTCAACAAGAATCTTGCGAATGCCCTGTTTTGCTAGAACGTACAGTTCCAAGTTTCCACCAATTTTCTCACTGCTTGCATTAGCATATGTATTTCTGTAAGCTTCAAAAACGTCATTTGCTGTTTCTGTTTGATCTATGAAATATTCATTATCATATTTACAGTTCACACCAGCATTGTAGTATGCGACCTTATCATGAGCCTTAATCTTCTTAATCTCAAATTCACTTCTTTGATCCAGCTCATATAACACAGGAGAACCATTTTCAAATTTTCCGACAACTGTCATATTTACTATCTTGCCGCTATCAGCTATTTCTTTTACACCCGGTCGTTTAAGATAGTAGCGCTCAAACCAATACTTTATGGTTTCCTTCAATGTATTGATGCTTCTGTCTTCCTTAGTCTTGAACTCATCGATGATGATTTTTGATAAATCTGCATCCCCCGATGAAAAAACAATCATATCATCAACATGATGAATCTTCTCTCCTTTGTTATGTAGACGGTATGATATACCGTTCAATTTAGAAGAAATAGCCGTATCAGCACCCATATATAGAAAATCTTTGTTAAACATAACCTGACAATAACTCAATTAAACAACTCCCTTTTTAGTTTTTATAAATTCAGTGAACTTGTTTCGATAGATCTCATATATTTCGTAGGCTTCTGGTGTTTGAGCAAGACATTCCATTTCAAGGAACATTTTCACAATGTGAATAACAACGTCTTCGTTTTCTCCCTCAGTAGAAATGTAGGCATTCTCTAGAGCAAGATCATTGTAATCTTTAATGAATACGCGCTTGTCTTTCATAGAAAGCCTATCTCCAACTTCATTTGATTCGAGAATGATTAAATTCCCGTATTCGTCTCTCTCAGCATGTAGCATAGTAAGACTCTCGATTTCCTTATTCCATTTGTCATTCAATGGAGACAGTATCTCGTTTAAAAATCGGTTCTTCATTCTTTCACCTTGAGCATTCATCTTAAGGTTGAGGATATACTTCCCCAACCATGGAATGTGATAATTAGGTATTTTCAAAAACTATTTACACTCCCTGTAACTTTGACTTAGAACTCAATAACAAGCGCTTTAACCTCATTTCCTTTACATACATATTTTCCTTCTACACGCATTTCAAAATCTTTTTCAATTGCCATCAAAATTTGCTCAACTTGTTCTTTGCTATATGTATCTGCTCTACTTTCATATGCTCTATTATCTTTTAACAGAAATTTAACTTTCATATTCACATATTCCTCTTCTACTATGTATTATTTTCGTCTATAAATATTCTCCTAGTTAAACTACATCAAACTCGTTTACTACTCTTCTTCCTTCGCGTTGCCCTTGCTACTTTTCCTTAGATCACTTCCAGCCCAGCCGCTGCATCAACTTGTACCATCTATATCTAACCTTCCACGTATCTCATCCCTCCCGTTCAATTGTGTTCCAAAGTGTCTGCCTTAAAATTCGTTTAATTTGTGTAGTCAGTTTAATTCAGAGAAATAAAAACGTAAACGTGAATTTCTATAAAAATTTGCATTCAGATATTCCTACATTCATCACTCACCTCCCTTCAATGAGTATCAAAATTTGTCAACTAAATGAGCATCTAAAAGCACCACATAGAGTTAACTATTCTTTAGTCTAATGATACAGGGTGCTTTAAAACGACAATTTAGTTGACAAGCAATAGTACTAATATTTATGAATAGTAATCATCTATTTTGTCCCTTCAATACATTGGATACATATTGTCTCGAACAGTTCATTAACTCAGCAATCTTAGCGTTTGATAAACTTGTATCACTTTGCTTTAACTTTCTAATTATTGAAGCCTTATCGTCTTTATCTTCTTCCAAATCTACTATCTGATGATACACAGAACCTTTAATATGTAATGGAATATTTAATTTTTTTCTCAATTCTTTGTTAACCCTTGCTTTCAAATATCCTGCTTTAACCAATATTACAGGCATATATGCTGACAGTTTCCTCAATAGAAATGTATGCAACCAACTTTGAAATCCTTCATCATGGTCATCTACTTCTAATAGATCCAGTTCCGACTCTCTATTCGATTTAAACTTGAAATTGTCTTTGTACATTTGCTTGTAATCAATATTCCCACTTCTCAGAAGTTCAACTATCTCTGAATCACATGTCCAACCCTTAGTTTCCATTTTCTCATTAACCTTTTGGTGAATTAAGTTCGAAAGTCTCTGATTCATCTCAGAAATGTCCTCCTCTACACGTTCAGGGAAAACACGATTTGTTTCCTCCACTCCACATAGACCAAGAAGCTGTTCTCCTTTTAAAACTCAGAATCAGTCAAATGGATTTAGAATATAAAAATGTGCTCACTCATCTTCAGCAAGCATAAGTCGCTCTGTATCCATGCTCACGATCTCGTAATATCTAGCCAAATTTCTAAATGTCTCTCCATTTCTAAATGAACTCTTTTGGTACTCCCTTACTTTCTTTTGCATCTCATCAGGCAACTCATCTATACCAATTGTGTTGAGCAGATACATGAAGATCATAATAATTACTTTAGTATTGGCCTTGTTAATGTTCTGTGCGCTTGAGTCATGATTTAATACTTCTTCAATGCACTTTTAAATTTAGCGCAAAACACTATTGCGTTGGTATTCTTGCACCTCTAGACTTTTCTATTATTATAAGTTGGGGTAACTTTCTCCTTGCAACTTCATGTATCTGAATTAGAAGACTAAGTGTACCCTTTGTTCGTAAAAACTTACTCAAAAATGGGTAGTTGTTATGTAAATCTACGTCATACTTGAACCGTTCAAGAAATTCGATATTAAAATCAATCAACTGTTACTATTGATCCCTTTGCGCATTGTTTTGACCTCAGCATAAGCCTTTGTATAGTGACTTTAAAAATCAAATGCTTTATGTGATAGCATAACTCTTGTCATTCGTTCTATTACTTGCGCGATATCATAATGGACACCACATCTACTCGAATGGCATTTGTAAAACCACTTGTCTTCATACTTGTAGATGTTTCCACTGCTTGAATTACTACTATTATGAAAGATACAAAGAAAACGATCAGATTCTATCCCCAGTAATTGTTTTAAATTCTGTCTTTTTAAAGATTATCTGATATCATTGCGATCAATGTAACAAAGCTCAGGCTGGTTATCTACACCTAACCTACTTTTCAATTCTGGTAATCCCTCAAGCCCACGGCTTATCAGTGAGATGTTTCCAATATCCATGTTCGAGTAATCTATACCTATTCTAGCTGGAAGTCCCTTCTTAGAAGGAAGTAACTTGTTACTGTCATTATAGTCAACTTTTATTCCGAATTGACACATAACTGTGAGTCCACCTTAATGATTACTCTTTCAATTGTTTCTTTAAGACGTACAATAAGTTCTGCTGCATCATACCTAATGTCTCTTTTAAATGTTCTAAGCTTTATCGTGAATGGATCATTAGGTTCTTTTAAATGCAGTGTATTGGGCACCCTTAATAATCTTGCTGGATTCTTGACTGCGGCATCAGCATTGAATATGTATATCAGTAATCCTTCTATTGTTTCAAATTCATGTCTTTGAGCTCCAGTTTCAAGTAAATAATACACATGATAGCCATTCTTCGTTTCTACAACAGCACTCGGTGTAGAATCCCCCATTCTTCCAACTCAATTATGCGCTCATTAAATAACTGCTTGTAACTGGATTTTTGTTCGTTATTTAAAGAGCTAAACCCTTCTTTAACTAACTCTTGCAAATCATTTCGCGTTCCTGTGAAGCCTGATGCAACAATTTCATGCTCCAGTTCATCTTTTATGTCCATATCTACAAAACACGCCCGAAAGTCTGTTATCTCTTCATTTTTATAACCTCCACCGTTAGGTAGATAAAATATTCCATAGCCTTGTTCATTCCATTCTTCGAATTCTTTAATAGCTTCTTTGCTATAATATTTCATTTTACTCTTGTACACTTTACTATGTTTTTTTCCTTCTAATATGTACTCAAAATTAATCTTTCCACTCCCGAATCCGGGTTTCAAGAACTCCCTGATCTTTTCATTATTCAAAAAGAAATATTTCTCCCTTCTATGTTTTAAAAGATATTTGATTATCAAAGAGCAATTATTAGTAATAGTTACTCAACATCCTTAAAAAACGGATCTTCCTTGAATCCTAGAACATGATCTGGAGGCAATAACTTGTGCTTATAAAGTAATTCTTCCAATTCCAACGTAAAACTATTTTCTGATGGGATACCAAATGCAAGCCGATTTTTATTTTCGAATATGTAAAGTAGTGTTTTGATTGCTTTCACTTCGTTTGAATTATCTTCGACTGTTATTCCATTGTTTGAATTTTCATAATATATATCCTTTTCAAGAAAATCGCATAAAGAACTTACCAAGTTAAAATGGCTTGTTAAAGTAAATTCACTGGTTATTGACTCGTTATAAAGAACGCCTCGCAATCGTAAAATTACCTTCTGTATTCCAAGTTCCTCTTGCTTGGCTCGAATATCTCCCTCATGCGGATCAAACTTTTCGAAAACTTCATGCTCAATACCATCCTCATCAGTAATTTGTATAGGTATTTCCAAGGTGTCTCTTTTAGACAGTCTGTTGAGATAATTGAGTTCTATTTC